GTTACATTGCAGAGTGTAGAGGACTTGGGCACTGATCCTTGTGCACTGAAATTATCCTTGTCCCAGTTTTCCCACTGGGCCATATATCATATATAAATATTTATATATATATATAACACATACATATCATATATAAAGAAATAAGTTACAGGGTAATTGCAGTAATGAGTGGGACAGGCTCTTCAGCTGGTGCTATGCACAGGGTCAGGTGTTGGTCTAAAAACTGAACACTGACAGCCTACACAAATAATTGATAAACCAGGTGGTCTGTGGGGACCTGCTGTGCCCTAGGACTTTCTAACAAAGGTCACTAATCTATCAGACCTGTCTTTAGGTTTCAAAAACTTCACAGGTCACTTGGAATGAATAGAAGCAAGCTGTAAAAGTGTCAAGTGGCCTCTCTACTTGGAAATCCATTTCCTCTTTAGTTCACCCAACTGTATCAATCAGTAAACAATCAATCTCCTTCTCATTCCTCCTCAAATGCTTGCAAAGAGCTATAATTATCTCCTCCTCTTCTAAAACATATGTACTAAAGTCATGAATGCCTCCTCAGTCAGAGTCCTTGAACCGTGTTATCTTTCTCTCAGCATCTACTTTATATGGATTTATCGTTACCAGCTGCAGCTGTGGGGACCTATACAATTTCTGGTCACATTTTATCACCAAACTAGGATCCAAAGGAACTTCACACACTTAACTAACAGTGAGACTAGAGACCACCTTGGAGCCAAAGGATCCAAAAAATTTGTGCTTTTTCCAAGGACTATCTAAAATCTCAGCTTTGTCATAACTATGCCTTTGCATTCAAATTTCAAGCAAATCAAATTGTATATGTACTCTCATGAAATCCACAGGCATTTTAGTTTCCTGGTTGGATAAACTGAAATGTCAAGAATTTGGTCTATGGTGCAAATATTCAGTTACCACATGGGAGTGTGTTCTTCTGCAAATGTGAATTTTCCAGTCGCAGCTCTGGTTGGGAAAAAAACCCCAAACCTTCACAAGTTTCTGCTGTTGTAGATAGAAGTTGTAACTGGTGCACTGAAGACACAAGACCTTCTGATAAGCTCTTCTTAGAAATTCTTAGGCTCGTGATTGCCCTAATTGTTAAGGAGAAGCCTTTGCTCAGATTGGGCAGCCCAAGATCCAGCAGCATACTCAGCATGCTTTGCTTGAAAGGCATTGGGAAGGCAGATTGCAGACCCTTAGTGCCAAGCAGCACCCCAGCCATTGCCGGGACTGGGATCAGATCTTCAACAGTCCATTAAAGCACTGGGTGGTTGGGGAGATCCCTGGCCCATGGAAATACACTAAAAAGCTCTGTAGAGATAGATTTTCTTCCCAGAGCGTCGATTGGTAGTAATTGCTAATTTTTTTGGGGTGGGGATTTCTTTCATTTGTTGGATTGTTTTGTTTGGGTTTAGTTTTCTGGCAGCGTAAGAGTAATCCAGTTCTTCTGAGTAGTGAGGTCCTGTCCATACAATGCCTCCCTGTGCCCACAGGGCTATGCAAGGGACAGCCCTTGCCCAGCCGGGAAAGTAACACAGCTCCCTCTGGCACTGTGTGGGGGCCACTGGGGCTGAGGAGGTGCCAGCACGCCCCAGCACCCAGCCCCACCCCTCAGCACATGTGGGGGAAGAGTCAGCAGCAAAAAATGCCTATTGTTTCAGAAAGGAAGTGACCCCTTTTCTCTTAAATGCTGGGAAATTGAGACCTCATCATTGGTGAGAAAAAAAAAAAATCACCTCTTCGAAGTTAAAGGGAAATACCACCTGAGCTGTACTGCCAGCAGTGTTAGAGAATGTGGCAGAGTGACAGAACTAAAGGGAGACTTTTTGTAAAGGAAGGAAGGAAAATGAGGGAGTGCAAGGACTTAATGGGAGAGGCAGCCTTTCATTTCTAGGTCATGAGTTTGACTCCAGCTCACCAGTCACTGCTACCTAATGATTTTTCAAAAGCCGACAATCATCTCTTAGTCTGTTACTTGAAGGCCACAGGCCCATCACAGAACCAGTCTTGCATGGCACAAGAGAGGAGTTGCTAGGCAGGCTGTGTGCCTTCTCTGTGGGATGATGAAAAACCTTTTCTGGGGCTTTGCGTGTGCATCTTACTCCTGTACTGAGGCCTAAGCAGATTGGTAGGAGTGCTGGGGTTTGACTTTGGTCTTCCTTTGCAGGGCAGCTATGCAAAGTCCCTCTACTCTAACAACCCAAGTCATTGGGGATGCCCTTTACTTTTTTGGTGCTCTGCTCCTGTGGCACAGTACAGTTGGAAAGTACTGGCCATATGAACTGCAATGTAGAGGGTGTTGCATGTCTTGTGGCAGACAGTAGTAGAGGGAGGAATAGATTCTCTGAGTATCTTTGGACTGTTCACCCTGCACAACCCTACCAGCACCACCCACCGTGGATGGGTTTACTGTGCACACAGACCTTGCATTAGCTCTGGGGACAAGCAGAAGACTGCCACGCTCTAATGCTGCTCCAGCAGCAGATGAAGACAAGGAAAGCTTTGGTTCCAGTTGTGCCAGTCACTGTGCACATGTTTAACAGAGATCCTCCTCTGCCAAGTAACGTACAAATGAAGATGAACATTTTGATAAGACAGGTGGGCAGAGATTGGAAGGGAGGAGAGCAGCAAAGGGCAGTGCTGTATAGTATAGCTCTTTACTGCCACTAGGAGCACTCATCCCACTGCCAGCCTGGCCTCTTCCCATCCAGCAGTTAGCCAGATACATCAGAAGACCACGTGCTATGATACTTAAGTCAATGCATCAGAGGCCAAGGACCCTCTCAGGGATGTAGCTTAACAAGGCTTGCACTGAAGGAATTGCCAGTGAAACCCAGCTTTGAGCCACAGGCATAGATTGAAAAAAGAAAAGAAAAAAAAAAATCAGACATGGGTTCCAGCACTTTGGAGCATGGGGATTTGGATACAGACTTTAGATTGGTTTACTAGAAAGATGGGAGCTTTTGCAGAAATTGGGTCTGAGCAGGACTGGAAACACACAGGAGTTTTGCCTGAGCAGTTGTTCATCTCTTGCATGCAAGTTACTTGGGATAAAGAAAATGCTTGAAAGCAATTTCATGTTTAGATATTCACCCTCTTTCTCCTGGTCAGAAATCTCTGTATTAATGCATGAGGCTGAGCTGTGGCAGCTGCTAGTTATTATGCAACTGGAAAAATATACTTGGACTTAAAACTCCAAAAAAGGGAAGCCTTGAGACAGGAGCTGATGGGAGGGTATTCACCTTTGAAAGACTTAAGTTTCCCTGTTAGGCTATGCTAACTGCCAGCAGAGAAATATCCTAGAAAACGATCTGAAAACAATTCAAAGCAAAGTTCTACAGACTTAGCTGGGACACATCCATTCCTTTAACTCCCTACTAATGACCTTCAGCTAATAGCTACTTCAGTGTTACCACCTTCCCATGAGTTGGGAAGCAATATTATTCTCCAGCTGTACAGGCACAGGAAACGCAGCAACTTTCCCAAGGTTATACATAATCAGTCACCGTCAGTTACAGCATATATTTCAATCCAGGGAACACTGTTTAACTCTAGGGTGATTACAGAGCCATATAATCCTTTGAGAGGGCTACTAGGCAAGTAGTGCAAGCTACCCTGAGACAACGTTTGGCCTGGGCATGCATGGCGAGATGCTCGAGGAAGCTATACTTATTCTGAAACATGCACACAAAACTCCACTCCTTCCCTGGCTGCCATACCAGTGTACCACCCAGCTGCCTAAAAGCCGCAGCGTTTGATACCTTACCCCCACCCCAGAGGGGTGTGGAAAACCAGTCCAGGGCAAAAGAGACAAAAAACAACAACAAAAAAAATCTTGGCTGAATTCCCAGGAGCAGCAGTGTCAAACCTGGCTGGCCTCCAGCGCAATTAAATACATCTTACCATCGTTAATGCCACTGTTCAGCTCTCTGAAGTTCTTCACACCTCCTTTCAGAAGTCTCTGAGCAGGATTGTAACCATACCCCTAGAGCATGCTCCCTCCATGCCAGGCAGAAGTTCATCTCCCTTGCTTGCTTGCTTGCCTTGCTTAGGGCCCCTAACAAAGCACTTACAAGCCAAGTCCTCAGCCAAAATTAGTTAGCTAACACAGTTCTGTTAAGGGCCCTGGAAATTAGTAAATTTATAGCAGCTGAGGTTCTGGCTCACTTTTTTTTTTCTTTTTTTGTAATTGCACAGATGAGCTTTATTTGCACCATTCTGGTGTTTGTTAGCGATATTCTTGAAAGAACTGAGCACTTCTGTATGCCTCTTTCAAGATATGTAGCAGAAAAAAATCTGCTTGTTGGAAGCTCCATGGTTTAGATTCCATAACTCAATTAACAGAGAGGAAGAAAAGAGACTGCTCTGTCAGTGAGGTGCAACAAGAATAACTTGAGTTTCAGGTCACTGCCTTAATCATGGGAGATCTCTGCTGTAGCACAGATGACCTCACTGACCATGGGAAAGTATCATTGAATGAATGAGGATGAGGTGCCTAAGCATGTTGCAAAATCCTGCCATCCTTTGCCTCTATTCTGGTCTTGTGGTAGGGGGATGATAACATTTTGCATCATCACAAAGGGTTGGGAGGATAAATAAGAAATACTCAACACTGGGGTTAACAGGATATGACAGTGCTGAGATCAATGGTTTGCAGCCTAGAACAGATAAACAAGAAGTTTTTGTGAAACCATGTGATGTTGCTAGTGACCACAGTAGGGGGAGAGCAAAGGACTTTGTTGTTGGCATCAAGGCAATCCTCACACAGAGAGTCAGAGATTTCATCTCATCTTCTATTTTTTTCTACTGCAGCCAAACTTTTTGGTACACATTGCAGTTTTTGTAGTCATGAAAGATATGAATTAAAGTGTCTGACATCTCCTTCTGTAAGTAGCAAGACCTCATTTTAACATGCTGCTTCCTGATTTCAGACAAAGAAATGTTTGTGTAGGCCAGAGCAAAACCAGTTAAGCAAGAAGAAAAAGGGGCAGATTGAAAGAAGTGAGAGAATCCAGTCAAAGCAAAGCATAGCATGATTAATAAGTGAAGGCAATCAGTCTGTGGGAAGGAACTACTATTGCATATAGTAATTCCTGGTAAGAGTGACACTTCTATGGTTTGTTCTTAAAAGTAAATGGAGGAATGCAACTGCTCTCCTCCTGACTCAGTGGTTTTGTTGGCCAGCTGGGGTGGTGATGCCATCAGAAGAGCCTGTAAGCCTTGTATTTTTTCATGCAGATGCACGCCTTGCTTCTTGCTGCCAAGAGATGTTTGCAGCTGAGCAGGTAGATCCTCTTCACTTCAAATCAGAAGTGACTCAGCTCCACCTCCTTCCAAGACCTGGCACTCAGCTCTCTCTTACAGCTGGTGTTTTGCTGTGTGTGAAAGTACAAACCAGCCACCCTATTCTTTGTCCTCAGTTCAGGGTCCCTCATGCTTATCCAAAAATTGGAAGAATGACAACATAGCCCAGCACAGGCAGCTCCTGATGAATTTCCCTGGGCATTTCTGTGGGCAGTGTCTTTTTCTTGTCCCTCACCACAGCAATGTACTGGTGTTATATTGCTGAGGTCTGGAACTGACTGTCCTAAATGTGACTCTTTGCACTGAAAAGATGTCTGTGAATCCTGCTAAGAGAGGCAGTGCAATTCTGTATATGATAAACAAGATCTTATATAAGGTGTTGTAAGCACTGTGTGCCCATGTGCCACAAAAAGCCCATCAGATGGGATTATTTATCACTCACTGCCCTTTATGAAAATCCAGTGTAAAATATTAAATCTGTGGGTGTCTATGAACAGCAAAGGGCATGTTTCAGTGGTATCCCAGGAAATTCAAAAGATCAAATAAAAGGAAATTTAAATACAGTAGAAAATGTCCATGTACTAGTTAGCTTGGCCTTAATGAGTAAAAGTCTGCCTTGTCTGTGTAGATTCAGAAAGCGAGCTGGAGAAGGGAAGGCTGGAAAATGGGTTATTTCTGAAACAGGGATTTTTCTGGGTTACCATGAAGGAGAGCTGCACAGGAGAGCTTTCCCTGCTCCACACTGGTGGTGTGGATCCAAGGCACAGTTACATTACTGGGAGTGAGTTTGTGAACAAGGCACAGTTACATTACTGGGAGTGAGTTGTGAAGCTGCTGCTGGTTTGATTCAGGCAAAAAGAAAGGAAAGAGGAGGGAGGAATGATAGGAAATGAAGTAGGAAGTAAGATATCCAGAAAAGTGTATGCATTGTAGCCCTCTAAGGTGCTCTGGGTTAGGCACTAATAAGGGAAAAGATACCAGAGAAACTGAAGTTTTGTACTGCAGTAATTCCTGGTTCCAAATCCACAATCAGATGGATTTGGAACTGAGATTTGCAGTTTGCTAAAGGGTAGATGCAGAACTTTCCCACTGGCTCTCATACCATTGTGATCCAGAAGTCTGCACTATGAAATATTATATTAATAAAAAGCTGTAAGAAAACCTGGGGCAGATCTTCATCTCCTGAAGATCAGCTTTTCATCCAGAGACTGTTCTACCACGTTACTGTGTAAAATAATTGTGATTTGAAAACAAGTCTTCTTTGTCTACATGCAAAAAGCTCTTGAACAAAGCTGCCCCCATCTCCTTACTCTTTACAAATAGGTAGGAGTTCATTTAAAGAAATTACTTCATAGCTAAAACCATACAGGGAGTGAAAAAGATTTACAGTGCCTCATTTGCTTTTCTTATCAGTACTTGCTTTTTGTCACCTGTATGTGTGCAGAGAATACTGTAGAGATTACCAAACAGTTTGCAAATTGCTTATTGCAACCCAAAATTCACTTAAGCCTGTGGAAAGACAGATTTTACTCTTTTTTCTGCTGGTTCAGAATACATTTAAATCAGAGAAAATATTTAGCCTTAAATTAATATCTATCATGCTGAAGGAACATGTACTTCTCTGCATCTATATGCAGGTAATCACTAAAAAGTCATCTGGTTACATGTTGTTTTCTACCTATCTACTAAATCAGAACTCTGTGTGCATTTATTAGTCCCCCTAAAGGACTCTGGGGCTATGAAACATAACACTTTTGTTGTAGCAAAGCTTACAAGAAAGCTTCATATAGCTCAAGAAAAACAAATTAGGGCTGTCCCCTTCTATCACCTTAGTATAGGCAGTTACACATTCCACATTCCTCAGGAGATGCATTAGACACTGAGTTTTGTTGCCTTCTGTGACCTTCTGCTTGTTTTCTTTTAAGCAGGTAAGAAGAGCCCACCTGCTGAGGACAAAGTTGTGTTAACACACATGAAGATATTGAGCAATGAAGGAATTCAAAACCCAGGGTTAATCCCAGAGGCTCCAGCTGACACAGCCTGCACAGAAGAGTCCCATCTTCCCGGCGCCAGCCTCCTACCAGACTGCTTGGAAAATCCAAATGCAGCAGCCGCACCGGTAGATCCAAACTGTGCAGATGGCCCGGCAAGCACTGACTACGTACCCACCCTGCCTGACCTCAGCGCCTTCGAGTCCAAGTGCCGGCTTCATAGATTCTCCAAATTTGAATCTGAGGACTCAGGGGTTGAATTGCCAAGTGGGGCTAATTCTCCATCAACGCCGACTGGCTCAGAGAAGAGCTTTGTGCTTCACAGCAGAGACTCATTTTGTGACTCAGGTGTGCTTAGCACCTCTTCTTCTCCAGAAATTGACCATCAGCTAATGAGAACATGTAAAGAACATGCCGGAAAAGTCAGCCTCCAAGATCCAGAGAGCAAAAACCAAGATGATTACTACAGCCAGGAGGCAGATGCTGTGCAGGGTCCTGCAGCTTCCCTTGAAGACTTCAGTGTCCCTCAGGAAGAAAATCCTGATGAACATTTTGACCAGAGTGACAAGCAGTTTCCAGAAAAGGAACCTACCCCAGAGAGGGACCTTTCCAGGGAAAGCACTCTTTCCACCCCAGGTCCCATAGAAGAGCCAAAGACAATTGCTGACAGTTTCCCAGAGAATTTTGGCAGCATGCAAGACCTTCAGATCCACGAACATCCGCTGAAGAAGTACCCCACAAGTGACAGTCTGAATGAATACATGGATGAATGCTGTAGACTGAGTGAGGTAAGAAGCACCTAAACTGAATATTAGATCTAGGCCTGTCCAAACACCCTAGTCAGGGTTCAAGTCCTGTTTGTCACAAACTAGGACACATCTGAGTGAGTTTAGAATACCTCCCCTGAAACTGTTGTAAGCTGTAAATAATGGTAATTGATTTTTAAGATGGCTTTTCATAGCAGTAAAATTCTGAAGTAATTCATAAATATCAGGTCTCGGTAAGGATGACAAACAGCTCTTAGAGATGTGATGTTTCAAAAAGCCCCAGAGTAGAGGATGGACTTGGTTCTGGTCTCAAAATGAAGATTGTGTACTTAGTCATCATCCCTGGGAACAGCTGGACTGCTGTTGGGACACTGAAATTTGGACAGAACTTGTCTAAGTGATATTTCATTTCTGTCCAGGCCTGTTGTGTCCTGTTGAGCCAGCTCTCCCAAATAATATATGAGCAGGGAGCTAATGCACAAATTCAGATCTTTGCAGGGCTGGAGCTGGAGATGCCATTTTATCTCACGAACACAGCTGTGATGGACCAAACTGCAAAGACATAATTTCAGCAGGTTGTCCCATTCCATAGTTCCTCTATTCCCTATTGCCGAGGACACTGTGCCACTGACGGGAGAATAAAAAGCTCTTCTGTGCACCTTCTCCCATAGCAGATGTTGGCAAGCACTCACCCCAGTGCTCTGCCTGAAGGCTCATGCTGCTGAAGTGGTGACAGATCCCTGCCTTGTCTGCCCACTGCAGTGGATTCCAGGAACCAGCATCAAACCGTGCATAGTGGGGATTTCTTTTTAGGGCATTCATTGCAGTAATAGCGATGAATTGGAATGGGAGATGGGTGGGAGGAAGCCAAGTAACAAGTGATGTGCACTGTGCATACAATTTAACCATGACCTCTCTGCCCCAGCCATGAACTATCAGGCGCTGGACTTCCTCTCCAGCATCCCAAACCCTCTCAAGCAGCAAGAAAGGTCAGAGATGTCCCATCTCTGTTAACATTGCATATCAAGACTGTACAAGCAACACACAATCCATCTGAGCAGTCTCTTCCTCCCCAGAGCTGTCTCACACATGGCAGAAGACAAATGTCTAACAAACTAACAGTCAGTGATCTGTTTGTTTGGCAGAGAGTTCAAGAAACGATCAGAGCAGCAGAGTCTGACCATAAGGAGACTTCATAAAAAGTTACCTAAATTCTCTGTTGCACTCTGGAGGGTTTGCAGCTGGATTGGTCTTGTCTGACAGCTCTATATGCCTGTGAAATTCTTTTAAATACTTTGTGAAATGGAGTCTCAGTTTCCCAAAGCAGAGCATTTAAATAAACAAGAGAATAAATTAGAAAGAAGCTGAAGAGGAAATGAAGCTCTTGGTGGCTTATCTCCCCTCCTTTTTAATATCCTCACTGGCTGAGTGCTAAAGCTCTGTGCCCCAGAGCACTTTTCTGTCTTTGTTTTTTGAGCTGTATAAATACAGCTGTGACCTAGATGCTAAGGAAGTTTGCCCCTCTTCACAGAGCACCTCCAGGCTGCTGTATCTCAAGAGCAGCACTCTTCAAACTGCTGGGATGCCAGGTAGCACCCAAGCTGACTGGGACAAGAAATGCCCACCGGCTGCTGCACAGCCCTGTGGCTGGTGCTGCTCTGTGTGCCTCAGAGCATCAGGACAGCCTCTTGCAGCTGCAGAGCCTTCTGCCCTCACCAAATCTGCACAAGGCTGACCTGCCTTTACTGTCATATAACAGAGGTGGGACACAGTGAGACTTGCTCAGAAGCAATGTCCAGATGATCATCTGTCCATGCAGCTGATGAATCCATCTTGGTTCATCCCAGTTGAGGCTCTGCTTCAGGCGTACTCTGTGGTTTTCACATTTGCCTGTGACCTGTCCCAAGACACAACATGGTACTTAGAAGCCAATCTCTTCTATGGCCTGATGTCTTCTGAGGGACTCAGATACCTCTAGAAATGCAATCAGTGTTGTCTGAAAGAAAGCAGGCTAGTACAGGGTATGCCTGCCCTGCTTGGCAAGAACGTGGCAAACCAAATTGCTCCATCAAATCAATTCCTGCTGCAATAATGTTGATAGACATGCAAGAGTGCTTACACTGGCTTATATTTAATGCTAAGTGACAGCATTATTTAATTATAGGTGACAGCAACTTCCTCAGTTCTGTTGCTTGTTTTGGGAACAGAGCTTTTAAGTGAGAGGAGAACAGTTGAGTTTCCCTAGCCCAGCTGGCTGTGGCAATGCCAACAGCACTGCACTTACCAGTTCACCACAGCCGAGCAAGGATTCAGTCTGTGGATGAGGTTGCCCCTTGATGTCCTCCTGACCTCTCTCACTGCTGAGGCCTCTTCCAAGAGAACAGGAAGGAAAATACTGAAAAAGAGAGACTGGAAATGACCAAATGTTTTGACCGTTTGGATTCAGTTGGTGAACGGCTTTGGCTGAAAATATACATCAAATCATTTCAGTCCGGCATTTCTTAAACAAAGTTTTCTGATCTTTTGTTTTGAACTATTGTTATTTTGAAATTTGCCTGCATTTGGAAAGATGAAAGAAAGTGGAAGCTGTCAAACAACAAGAGAAAGAACTTTGAAGCCTAAATAAAAGCATTTCCTTTTAATCAAAATTAAATGTTCAGGGTCAGTTTGAAGATACATAGCTTTTGATGCTTTTGCTTTACAAACATTTCCTCACACTTCATAAAGTTTACATTTAAAGCCAGCCCATATCCTAGACGAAGAGAGAGGGTGGGAACACTGTCATCATTAAATGAAAAAAACCCCATTATTCATGCAGTGCAATTTATCTTGAGCCAAAGCAGTCAAAATGCTTCTCTACAGAGTGGTATGGTTCAGGGGAAGAATAGGGCAACCTGTGATGGTCATCCCCATAGCCTGTGCATGCTGCTTAGAGGAAATCAGAAGCTATCAGCAAGCACAGCCCCTCCTGGACAGCAGGGTGGAGCACTCAGAAATATACAGCACAATCCCTCTCTTTCCTGTTATTCACAAGGCTCCTGGTGCTGTCAGCTTTCAGTGACAAATGCTTCCCGCTCAACCTGTGGTGTCACTAATCAGTTGCTCCGAGTCCGTGATGGGGGGTTCATAATTATGTTCCTTGGTGGCAGTCGGTGCAGTGACTGTGCTGCCTCTGTACTGGCCATGCTAATGTGGCAAGAGCACGCAATGAGGGATTTATGGGAGGATGGAGCACAGTATAAATCAAAACTATCCACAAGAGAAAGTGAAGAGCATTGCGTGAAGTGTAGAAACCTAAGTCAATGCAAAATACATCAGTGAGCTCTTGTCTGAATGAAGAAAATCTTCCCCTGCAAGCTGCCCATCACCTTCAGCTCCTGCTGCCAGGTCCAGCCCAGGACAGTTTTCCATTGAGCCCAACTGACGAAAAGCACCCCACATGTATCCAAGTAACAGATAATGGCTGAAATGAGGCAGGAAAAACTGCTGATTAGATGACCAGAAATGCAGATTTTGATTATAGATCAATTGGACAAGGGGCTTGAAAGCAGCTGTCATTCTTGCAGCTCCTACTGAACTTCGAATCTTTGTAGTTCTCAGATGCTGCAGTGAGCACAATGTTACACAGAGACAAGAGAGACAGGCTTCCACCTCTGCAACTCAGGTAGCCTCAAAGGAAAAGTGATTTTACACTAGTCAAAATATTGCCTGGAGGGGTCTAGATTAGCCATAGTTCCCAGTGCAGATACTGATCCTGTATTTTTAAACTTACTAAGAAATCTGTGGGCCAGCACAACTGTAATGGTTTACTCCCAGAGACACATGTACTGAGAAGCTGTCCCCAAAACTTACTCAGGTGAGCACTGACAAGAGCAGAGATCTCTTTTTAGTTACACAGGTGTAAAGTCAGTGTAGTGCACCTCAACTCTGCAGGGTCAAAACTGTAATGGAAGTAACTCAGCACAGCACAGCTGAGAGCCTTTGACTCCTTTTCTTCCAGATGAGGGTCTGGCTCAGTCTCATGTACCTAAAAGCAAAATCTGGCACCTACTTATACATTATATTGTTACTTTCCTAGAGCAACTTCAACCATTTGATTCATAATTGTGTCTGTCTGATCCTTCTCATCCTTACCTTGCAGAAAAGTATGCAAGGTGTTTTTCCTTTGTAGGTTTCATCAGCTCAAAAATGGGCATACAGCTTTTGTTCCAACACTATTTGATAATTCCCATGTGTGGAGTGGGAAAAATTTCAGTCTTGTTAGGTGAATATTTTGGGAAGCTTCAACTGGAAGGACAGAAACTGGAAGAGACTCATCCTGGAAAATGTTTGCAATTTTTCTATGGTTGCTTACTGTTCACTACTAGCATAAAACTGTCTCAGGTGCTGAAAGGAAAATATTTAGACCAGAATAGGACAGACCAGGTTCTATGCACTTGGTATCACCAGAAGATATCAAGGACTGTTTAGGTATTTCCAATCTATGAAAAAACAAAGTCCTCAAAGGGTTCCTAGAAAGGCCCTCTCTGCACAATTGTTTTGGGGGAAACCAGCTACATTGCACAAATTTTCTGTATCAAACGCCTACCATATCTGAGCAATTCTGAGGCTAACAGGCTCTGTGGCAGGGCAAGCCAGGTGAAGCAAGACCCCCCCCCCAAAAAAAACTTTCTACTCTTGCATGCTGACCACTGAGGTGGCTGGCCCTTGCAGGAATATGCAGGCACAGGAGGCTCTGCCTGATTTGCCTCTTGCTCATTTGCACTTTCTGGGATCACTTCAATAAAATCCAGATAAATTTCCTATCAAATGGGCCAAACTGCCTGCCCTAAGCAGCCTCTGAAGGCTGGCTGTTTCCTCTGTCTGGGGTCTTTAGCATATTGAGTCCAACCTTCAGTCTGGTTTAGGTCCTCTGCAGGAGGAGATCCACCTAAGACCTGGAGCAACTACTCTGCACCTTTTCCCTCTCATTTTCTGGGCACCTGTATTTACTCTCAAGAGTTAGAAGTTCTGTCTAACTTTTGCTAGAAGCCAGATTTTCTCTATGCCTCCCCAAATACACCTTTTCTTTCCAGTGCCTTCAGCTCTAGACACAGAGCACTGGAAATCAGGGCCACCTTCTCTTCACCCTGCCCATTTTGCCCTACCAACCTAGCAGCTGCAGACATGAAGCAGGACCGTACAGCATTAAGTACAGGACAAACAAAAAGAGGGTCTCTAACAGAAAGAGGTCACAAACGCTTCATGCTTTTTCTGCAGTCTAAGTTAGAACTAAATATTTTATATCATCCTCTTCTCCAAGACCTCCTCTGTCCCTTGTACCCTCCCCTTTTGTTTCCACAGATATAAGGGGTTAGATTTGGCTCAGTGTCTCCTTAGGGCAATACACGTGCCAACAGTCATGCAAAAGCAAACTAGCAGGAAGGGGAGTTGCTAGATGTGCAAAAAGAGGGTACAGTGTGGCAGAAAACTTATATTTTCAAGGACAATGAGGAACATCTGACAACCCATTGGGACAGCATTCAAAAAATTACTATTCATTTCAGGACTGCTCAAAATGGCCAAATTTTCAGAAGCTGATATTCATGTACTTTCTGAAAATCATGCTTCTGAAGCACGGCACCCTGGAATCCCTGGCTGCTTTCAGATATGTTGGTTATAGTGCTTTTGATTCAAACTTTTCTCACTAGACACCACACATGCTTTGGTCTCCCTTTGGGTCCTGGGGCTGTGCTCCTTCTCACTGCACAGCCACACTGCGTACTCACTTTCATGGCTGAGTAACTTTTGTCTTGCCATCACTTCTGCAGGCTCTGCCTGAGAGGAAACAAAAAATCGTGAATATGAATGACTGGTTGGCTTGGAGTCAACAACCTCTGTCCCAACCTCAGACACAAAACCATCTGGATATAATAATACCTGTTTATAAATAACGTTGTATCATCATTTGTTTAAAAAGAAGTAAATCCTAATGTTGATTATTTTTGAACACACCATGAGCTTTCTGACATAATGAAAAGACAGGAAGAGTCCCAAGGCTGGCATTTCCCCAAAAATGTAGATTGTTGTGGGAAAGGAGACAGAGTAAGCTTCCTGCTTTTGTAGAGGGAACTTATTTTTTGAAGTAAGATAAACTTAGAGCACTGCTTTTGTAAAGATCGAGGCTTATTTTACTTACTGATATCACACTCACATCAGCAGGCAGCGCCAAGGTGGAAGTGAGCCTCTGCGTGTGTTTGTTTGCATCACGTTCGACACAGCCTGCTCATGGCACAGGGGAGGACACTTGCTGTGCACAGGGAAGTCCTGGGACCAGAAATGGTGAGGTGCAGAGCAGGGGGCAGGGAAGCGTCATTGCCTTTCCTCTGCCACAGGATTTCAGTCTCTGGCACTGCCCTTGGCTGAGCAGCAGTGAGACTCTGGCAGGTCCTGGGTGAAGAGAGAGTGGTAGTAGAGATTATCCTACTACCGCCAGACAGCAAAGTTGATCCTGCAGACTCTCTTTGGGCATCTCTTGAAGACTGAGAAAACAGCAACAGGGATGTTAGTTGGCATCTGGTAAAGACCAGTGGAAAGATGTTCTTTCTCTTTGGCAGCTTGGTTCAGACACACGTCTCTCTTAGAGACTCACCTGTGATGTACCAGTCAGAGTACATCAGACAAAATGTACCCTCAGGTTGGCCACAGTGCAGCAAATCAATACAACCTGCAGATATGTGCCTTTGGGTAGGAGCCAAGCTCAGCCTCAGTACACATAAGCAAATGACAAAAGAGGACTATGGGCTAAGTGAGCCATACTAGCCCCAGCCATCTATACCATACAGTAGAATCATATTTGTTTGTAAGGGTCCTATGGGTACTAAAAGACAAAAATTAGCCTGAGAGGTGGAACTAGAAACAAGTTGTCATGAGGTTTTCCTCTGTGTCAGCCTGTGATCAGTCAGAGGAGTCCCTCTGATGGTGGATATTGCTGAGTAATCCAGAAAAGAGCTCCAGTAAGCAGTGCTGTAGCTCAAATCTGTCTATGACCAAAGCCTCTTGCAAGAGGAAACACACATGACTGTAAGGAATGTGTAGGGCTCTTAGCTGCTAGTAAGAATTGCTCTGTTGTTACTCCATGGTCCAAGATGCATTGTCTTTGCAGGTGAACCAAGGTAACAGCAAAGCCCTGGGATCTGGTCTGGGATACCTAGAACACATTTGCCAACTGATTGAAAAGATTGGGCAGCTGCAGGAGCACAACCTGCGTCTCCAAAAACAAGTGTGCAGCTTGCAGAAAGAGCAGAAGATGTGCCAGTTAAAAGAGGTAAGCAGACACCATAGCATCTTCCATTAAATTATATAGTCATGGCCCAGATGGAAAGTTCTGTGTGAGGGAAGATGCTAATTTACCAGATCCATCACCCACCTGGGCTGGGTACTTTGGTCTTCAGGGAACTCTTGCCCACCACAATGGGCTTAGTTTCCCGAGCGTGGGCTTGGGTTTCTGTTCCTGTTCAGTTTTGCTTCCCAGATGTGCTTGCTTCTGTTGAGTTAAAAAGCATCCTCTCACCTCATGCGATGGCCAGCTCTCAGTCATTAGCTTTTACTTCTCTACAGTTGTAAACTTCCCAGGAACACATCTCCTCTCCTCAGTGCTATCAAAACGAAATCTGCAGACCTCCTTAACAATTGTGTTTTGAATTAAGAGATATTTCTTCCTTCAAATGTCAAAATCGCACAATTTCTCACAAAATGACACAATGGGAAAGAGAAGTAGTGGTGCTACTACCCAACTCCATGTTTTCTTTCCCTTCTTGTGCTTCTGAGCTGCCAGATGAAGAATCTCTGACACAAAACATCTCAGTGTTCCCATTTGTCATTTTTATCAGCCCGAGCTAGCTGGGGAATTTGACTGAAATTTGCAAATCATTTCAGTGTCCACCTAAACAGCATTTTTTTGCCCCCTCGTATTTTGTTCAGCTCTACCCCACCTCTACTTCTCAGTTCTTTTTCTTCAACCACTACATAAGGTTTCTAGCTTTCTTCCTCCCCTGCTTTTCTGTTTATTTTATCACTCCCCAAAGGAACAGAAGGGGTTTGTCACACTCAACTATTTCTTCCCAGCTGTGCTATGGCCAGTCTTTTATTCTCCCGATAGCGTCATTCTTCCTCTGGTGCTGCTCTCCCACCTGCTGGGACTGGATCTGCAGTAGGTGACTGACTCCTCCTCAGAGCCAAAGCCAAGTTCTGAGTCAGGTTGCAGAGCAAAGTAGCTCGTAATTTCCATGTACCCATCTCATGCTCAGAGGAATGCAGCCTCCTACATAGAGCCTGGGAATTGTTAACACATTTCCTGGAGCTTTACAATTGTGAGTCATTGCTCAAAGTAGCTCTTCCAAGCTGCAAACTCATCTGGTGTATGTCCCCCCTCCCCAGCTCCCACTGAAATGAAAGGAACCGTGCTTTCATTTAAATATTTGAAACCTTGATCTTTTTGGTACTCAAGATCTCTCAGCAGTGCCTTTGGAGATGCATTTGTCCTGTACTGTTCAGTGGGGAACTGGATCCCTAGCTGTAACATTCAGCACTTGCAGTGTGCTCTACAAAACTGGATGCTCTCCCGGGTATCTCTGTGGTGCCTGCATCTCCTATATTTGAGCAGCTCTCTGCCATTTTGTTCTTTAGTCATAGCCCCTCTGTGTAGAAGAGGAACACTACTACCCCATTTGCCACGAGATGTGAAGATTGCTGTCCACATCATATTTTTGGAGGGATTCCAAAGGCTCCTTTACAAACCATGTTCATTCTTCATGAGCATGGAAAGACAGGGAAATCTATAATACCATGGGCCAAACCCAGCATCTTTCATCAGATTTTCAAAGCACCTCCCAAAGGTATAAGTAACGCAAACTGCCATGCTGTTGTGACAACATATCCAGATGAGAAGTGACATTGAAACTGTCAATTGCTTGTCTCCAGAGGTGCTAAACTGGTGTTGGCCTGTCCTGGTTCCAAACCCAATAAACAGTCTGGTTCCTTTTCTGCTTCAGCTGGATAAAACTCTTCTGGCTTCCTGCCCTACTAAATTCTTGTGCAACATGGTCATGCAAGGTAGAAAATCTCCCCTTTCTGCCCCACAAGCTACAGCAGAAGTACACTGGCTGAAATACCACATACAGTCAATCTGACTGGTAACATGCAAGAGAACTGTGGCATCCCACCAACAAAAGTACAAGATATTGTTGTCTGTGCATGTTCCAAAACAAATAACATTATCTTAAAATTCGAGTCATTGTTATAATGGATCTGTTTATTTACACTAATGCCTTAGCTATGCAGCTCTGTGTTTAGACACTTGTATTCAGTTCTTCCTAGGAAACAAATCAAAAAGATGCTTAGTATCAGACAATTTAAGTTAAATGCTAATGAATCCATAAAAACTCTGTATTGCCAACTCCAGGCTTCTCAGCCTTTTAGAAAATTAAGTAATTTGTCTGGGTTCTGGTGGGACTCAGGACAAAGATGGACATCCCTGGGCTGGAATGATTGCAATTTGTCTGTGCTATCACACTGCCCAGTTACCTTGGGCTGTTGCAGCCTGAAAGCCTGCATACTTTCTTTTTGTCTGGTATAGGAGTACCTTCTGCAGCACTGCTCCTGTGGAGCTGCCAGCATCTTCCTCAGCTCACATCAAGACATTAAAACAATGTTTGCTGGGAGGACCAGACCTCACAGCCTCTTGGTTCAGACTGGAAACCCATCTGATCTTTCCATCATCCCAGAAATAGGAGCGAACACTGAAAAGCTGAGCAGCTGCAATGGTGAGTTCAGATATGTCTAACCTGCTCTCCTGTTTGCCACCACTTGGTCAAATAAGCTGACCAGCCACTTTCTTCTCCCTAGGAAAGACAGATGGGAACAGAGCAAGGTGTTAGTAGAACTAAACCTTAGCTGGAAATCCAAGAGAAGCAATTTAAAATGCTTTGTCTATACCTAGGATTTTAACACTGGCTGCTTCACTTGTGCGAATCAGGGCTTTTTGCTCTGCAGCTGTGGCTATAAGGATCAGGATAAATGCATTATAAAATGGGTCTTTCTTTTGGAAACTTAGCATGCCTGAATGGGCCCATTAGTGGAGCCCCTCTGTGTGGCTTTAAAATCTTCCCAGGTAAGGTAGGATTTGATCTAAGATGGAAAGCCTTAAGCCTGTTGTTAGTCTCCTACCCTCTCAAGTAGGCACAGAACACATTCCTGGAGGATGACTTGTTCTATAGACTAAGTGGAAATAAGCCCCAGCTGCAAAGCTTGGATCAGAGACCAACTTTTCCAGAAGGCTGAGAAAGACTGGGCTCAGCCTACTGATGATAAAGCCAGATGAAAAGTCTGGATCCAATGTTAGATGTCAACCAACTCACTAAGTGAGGCTAATGAGTTTATTTCAAACCTTGGACTTCAGCCTGTCTCTAATACCCGGTGAAACCCAGAACCTCAGCACACCTCCTAGGAGGACTGAGTCAGGGTATAACTGGCCTTAGGGATGTCTAGTGCTGAGGGTCAAAATTATCCTTTCCTGGCACTTTCAGAGCAGGCTTGGAAGGAAAATAAGATCACGAAGAAACCCTTAGAAAGTCCTGCCATGGTCAGGCACTTTATTGGAGCATTAACCTTTTCTCCACTGCAGTGTGGCATGAAGACACACATAGTCTCATCCCATCTTTAAGTCCTTAGTGTTGTCATCCCATCTGGAGTCGTAAGTTTCTAGAAGCACTGCCCAGAGGCCATCCTAGCAGGACACTGCTAAGAAAAGTGAGCAAGTCCTTGCATTTTATTGCAGGAAGCGAGAGAGACTCAGAATCAGGAAAGAGCCAGCTGATGGTGGGGCTCAGGAAGTCATCAAACAACAGGAACAACAAGGAGAATGAGTTCAGAGAAGCTGGCAGTATGGCTGAGGGACAGGCTTTTCTGTCAAAGGACCCTTCAGTAAGAAAGGTGAGTGATAAGCTTGAAGGCAGACCCTGAGTGGGACCTATGGGAGAAGCAGAGAGAAGTTCTGCTCAGGCAGATGAGTGTGGGGTACCAGGGGAACAAACCAACCCTGTCTGCTATCAAGCAGGGCTGGGGCAGTGAGGGCCAGGGTGGTCTGTGTCCCTCTACTCCCAGATTTAAATGAAGGACTGTCTTTATGCCAACAAAGGCACAAATGGATCACTGGTGCAGGGGAGAGGAACACCACAGAGAGCAGCATGGGTTTTAGCCCTCACCAACTCCAGACAGCTCAGTGTGTAGACTCTGTCATAAGTATCTTCACTACTGATGTTAGTGAGATTAAACCAAGCATTCGTGACCACATAAAAAAATGTTAGTGGATCAATCCTTAGCTGGCCACACTTACTACTAGACTAGCAGCATATCAATGTAATTAGGTCCAGTCCCCAAAGCATATCTTAGGGAATCCATGGCTCTGAAGTCCAAGGGAGCCAGGATGAGTGCTTTCCTCTCCCTTTCTTTCCCATTGTTTGTGGCTGCCTCAGCACTTTCATGTTCCGGTGGGGATCAGAAGTGCTGAAATGCCAGCACAGAGACTCTAATCAGAATATTCTCAGCCCAACAGGAAAGAGGAAGGAGTAGGTCTCTCATGGGAAAGACCTTCTCATGAAATTTCCACCCTGAAGTTGTAAATAGGTCACAAACACTTCGATGAACTTCAGAAATCAAAGTAAGGCTGAATTCTGAAAGGTGCTCCACATTCTGGCTTGTGTCCAGCCAGTTTCCAGAGTATTTTAAGCACACGGAAAGTCCTGATGACTTCACAGGACTGGAGAACAAGATCCATGCTCTTTAAACTGAATCCTCACGCTCTTTTGTTACATCACACCTTAGTATTGTCACTTAGTATTAGATTTTGTAACCTGAACATGAAATGCCCCATTTATTCCTACTGTATTGGAATTCTGTCTGCTACACTCATCCTAAGGGTACTAGGTACTACAGACATGAACTGGCAGTCTAAATACAAAAGAGAGATGAGAGGTGGTAAAAGAAAGAAGGGATTATCACACATGAGAGACTGAACAGTAAAGAGATAAAGGACTTGACCAAGGCTATGGGTATATGCCAGGGCAGAGCTGAGAACAAAGCCTAGTCTTTTGCCAACAATGGGAGATGGTCTCACTGGCTTGTTATTTATCAATGTATTTGCCTTTTGTTTTTAGGGTCTGGATGTCAGCAAGAACATCTCGGTACGTACTGTCTTTGCAGAATATTTTTAACTTGTGCCTGCATTATCAGGGACCAGGCTTCTGTACTGCACAGCATTGTACACGAACAAAAGAGGTTTGTTGACTCCTGAAGTTTACTATCAAAATAACAGACACACAAGTATTATGACTTACCCGTGTGGCCCCTTGTTCTGCCACCCCCACTGCAGACGACAGCCCCCAGGAACAGGCAACTGCTCAGGCTTTCTGCGGTATCAGCTGTGCTTGCTTTTCTGAGACAACACCAGCACAACGAGGGACTAACTGCCGAGGCCTCCAAAACTCTGTTACAGCACACATTAATCCTAGCAGTAAACACAAAGGTTTGCTATTTCCATGAGTAAACAGTCTCGTTTACAGGCAATTAACTCAATAGCACAGAATCTTATGTTGCAGTTCTCAGCTGAGCCTGTGACCTCATCTGAAGTTTTGAACTGAAAACTTTGCAGAGCCCCAAGGAGTTACTGCAGTAGGCACTGGTGGGGCTGGTACGTGTGGCTGGGCAGCTGCCAGGTTGTGCTCTCAGAGTGGCCACAACTCCTGTAGTAATGGCTCTGCTGGTGGCACAGTGGGCAGGAACCTTTTGACAGGGCAGAACAATGCTCCAACCCTGATAATGGTTTGAGAACTTTAGTGAAATGCGAATCGTTTCTACCCGTTATGCTAGTTCTGGGGCATGATCATTTTTGTTCTGTTCCCAAAGTTTTCCAGCCATCACTTTAGGAAATTTAAAACAATACAGAAAAAGAACATTAAAATTTTTGATGCTTAGCTCCTTTTAGTTCAGGAGTCCAGATGACCTCAGCCTGGAGAGAATAAACATTAGGGATGGCCTCCTGAGACTCCCTGACCTCCTGATAATCTCTATTAGCATTTCAAATGTAAGAGCCCAGTAGCTGTGGCTTGAAACGTGACAGGGTAAAAAAGGCTTGATCTCTTCTAATTCATGGTCCACAAAAGTCACCACCTTGAAAAGGGCTGATAACAGTGCACCTGGCCTAATAGAAAGGATAAGAGAGTCAAACTGCTTTTTTGGGTTTTGTTGTAAAGGCCCCCTGGGCGCATGTGAGTAGATAGGAAACCAAATGGATCTTTTCCTTTAGTACAGTATAACAATAGGGTAAAACTGCCCTTAGGCAGCTACTTAGCACTCACCACTGAGGTGCCCTCACTCTCTGAACCCTGAAGTCAGATAGAACAGCAGTGTCCTAGACAGGGAAATGTTACCAAACAAAATACAAAAAAAGGATGGTGTTACTCACAATTCTTCCATCCTGTCTCCTTGTTCCCTGTATAGGTACAGGCTGGCCACTAGGTATCATTGCACAGTGTTAAAAATTCTTTTGTGTGACCTGAACCCTATCTGTCTGAAAGAAGTTGCCCTCTTCCCACCACCCTGGAGTACCCCAAAGTATCATATGTTGGCCAGATGAGGTCTGCCAGCAACTTGCCACTGGTCTTTCAAGTTGTGGTTTCTTTTTGCTCCCTAGGGCGAGAGCCATGCTTGGGGGAGAATGAGAGATCTTATGAGAAAGACACGGTTGAGAAATCAGAACAAGCTGGGACTGACCTCTGCTGCTCTGAAGAGGTCCTGCCCACAGTTGTACAGGTGAGGTAATGCTATGGGAGATTTTCACTTAGTGTTGGGAAGAGGTGATAGAAGATTTACCTCTGGTTGTTGATGCCTGGAGAAGACCACTCCTTACCTTCTCTCCATTGCATATGCTGGTCATGGCCAGTAGTGCCATTTGCTTCCTTAGTGCCCAGATGCTCTAAGATCCCAACTGGATGTTACCTGTGTGAGAATAATGGAAACATTAGGGTTCCTAAAAGATGGTGCTTGCCCCCCAGCAGGACAAGGGTATGATGACAATTAGCCAGAGCCACTCTGTAGTCTAATTACTTGTCCTTCTGCTCCCTCCTAAGCATTACAGTCAAGGTTAATGCTGTCCTTTGTCCACTTTCCCACCTTTCATCCAGTGAACAGTAACCAATATGGCACCTGATGTGTGATGAGATGGGACAGTCAGATCAGCTGGATGGTTTCCTGTCAGAGGAAGGGAGATGAAGTTTACTGAGCGTATGCTCATGAGTGGGACCTGCTTGTTGCTGTAGATGAATATTTGAGTCAAGCATGAGGTCTTATTTCTATTAAGGGTTCCATGCTGGTCCCTTAGACAAGCTTGTCTACCAGGCTAGTTTACAGGCTGGCCTCTGAGCTGTACTGTGTGGTGCATGTCTGTCTGACAGTGCTGCCAGCTACCCCTTGTACAGATATTCCCAGTGTGCTTGCCAAGTTCTCCCAGCTAGTCTGATGAACTTGGAGCGTTTGTGTATATAATCGGGTAACAGGAAGAGCCTGGGTATCTTACTCACCAAAGCAGGAGCATTACATGGAGCTGTGCACCTCCCTGTATGTTTTTTCAGCTGAGGTCTCAGTAACCTTGAGCAGAACAGCTCAAATGTGCTTAAGCCCTCCTCAGGTTTTAGAGCGGGTGATGGTAGGGAAACAGCAGTTGTTTAAGCACTCAGGAATGTCCTATTGTTCCCCTTAAGACAGCCTGTACCTACCTTACAAAATACATAAGGGAACTGGGAATCTTGTAATTACAGCTCAAAAAACCTCTCTGTAGTTCATGGAGTGACTTTTCCAGCTGGGAGAAGCTTGGTTGGGGCCCAAGCACACGTAACAGGCGAACTTCCTCCTATTGTTTGGGAAACTGAAAGAAACACAAAGCAGAAAGAGATCAAACAGTTCCATCTAAAATAGACGGTGAACCAGCTGGGGAAAAAATACAAACTCCTGTGAACCTTTCCTCTAAACCTCAATAGAATCAGGACTTTATTTGGGTTTGAGAAAAGTTCTGTCTCTTTAACCTCCTGCTTGGCTCTTTCCCTGCAGCACAGAGGACAGTGCCAGTGCTTTCTGCATGAGAATTGAAGGCTAGATCTTCAGGTGCCTAAACTGATATACTTCCAAAAAAGGGCCAGCCCAATAGCTCCTAACAGAAATTCTAGCTCCCTAGAAATTTCCATGACAACTATGGCTGTCATGGAAATGCTATACAGTGAGATGCCAAATGGACAATTTTTTACCTGGTTGTAACTGTGCAGCCCCAGACATCTTGTACACTGATTTTTCCAGGCTGCTTTCTATAGCTGATGAATGGCCTTTTCTTTCACTAACTTTCTTCTCATGTATATCTACATGAACCCCTTGGCTCTACTTATGCCCCTTTATCTGCCTCCATTTCCTTATTCCCTAGCCCTATCTGTATTTGATCTTGTTCTTTTTACCCCAAACCCAGCAATAACAATGTACTGACACTGACCTGGAAAATTTGGGCACCTTGCTCATGTGGCATTTGGATATGCAGTTGCCTTCAGGCTCCTATGAAATAAAAAGTTAGGCTTAATGGATCAATGACAGACCAGATCAATGACAGGCTGGCAAATGCTGCTGGACAGAAAGACAGACTCTTTGTAAAGCGAGAAAGTCTCACTCATCTGTAGCTCTTGGCAAAGCAAACCTTGAAGGCCTGATACTCTCAGCATTTAAAACCACTGTCTTTGTTATAATTTATGAAACATGTTTGTCCTGGCTCCTAGTCCTGTTTATACATGCAGGCATATGGAGCTGGCTGGCTTTTGCTTACCCGGGCTTCCTTGGGCTCCAGGTCTCGAACGGAACAGGCTGGATCCCGCTGCCCTATATTAACACAGCTCCCAAGGAAGAAGAGTTTGTTGCTTTTGACACCCAGTCCCACTTGAGTCATTTGGGCAATTAGAGAAAGTCTCTTTGTTTTTGTTTTTGTAACTAGGTCAAAGCAAATCCCCTTTTATGCTCCCACTCTGTGTATGATGAATGATCTGCTCCAGGGCAGTTGTTTTGTTTTTCTTTTCTGTCTCCTTTTTTTTTTTAAACATCCACAAAAGAATTCTCATAGTAGAGAGAGAACTTGGTTCTTTTAGCAGGAGAGGGGGGGACCTGCCAAGGTAAACATACTGGCATAAGACTCAGCGGTTTGTCATACATTGTTCTAAACAGGCCCAGGTTTTCATTTCATTTTCTTTTTCCTGCTAGTACATTTATTCCTGCAAAGCAACATCTATTTTGTGCAAAGGGGCAGAATAAGCTGATGACTGACTTGAGCATGGTGTTATGAACTTAGGCAGCACATGGACCCAGCTTTCCAGGACAGGATCTAATGTGAGAAGCTTTGAGCAATCCTCTCCTGACATTCCTGTGCAGACATACCAACCTGGCTCTCTTTGGGAGCTATAGCTTTAATGCAGCTGCATGGGCATGAGCTAGCCTCAAATACAGTGTTTTTCATGGTAAAGATAATAGTTTCAGTTTGAAGCCACCAAAAGCTTGCTGCTGTATGACACCTACTTTGTGGTTAGGGTAAAGTCATTAAGGAACGACAAGCACAGCTCTTATATTACAAACCCCTATCTTCAGTACTGTACAGCAAAGGTTAAAAAGGTCCCTGGAACCTCAGACCCAGGTCTGAACACTGCTTTTCACTTGGGAAATTACTGCTAAGGGAGATCCCTGTGCTCAGGGTTGAGAAACAGACAAAGAATTAAAGAACAACATCAATGCAGAAGTTTGACCATCCCATTGTAAAAGAACTAAGAGCTGAACAAACAAGAAAACATGCAACATTTAGATAAAAACCAAAATAGTAGTTGACAACAAAAAGAGTCTGCACCTCATCTGTCAGGACTTTCAGCTGAAAATTTTTCAAATCAAATATTTGAAGTAAATAGCCATTTATTTTCTGTAAATAACTTTCAAATATTGCTTTAAAAAAACCCCAAACTAGAGCTTTTCTTTCTTAAACAGAAGCTATTTTAAAAAATGTTTAGAAGGTATTCTAAGAGGACATAAATCCTAGAGGCCCAAGCTAAGTAATTTCAACCAAACAGGATATATTATACTTATTTCAATCATGTGTAATAAATAATGAACAAAAAAATAGGCTGGAGACAGTCCACAGCAGCTAGCTTAGTGTTGCTCTTCAAAACACTTAATTTCCTATTTACTACTTCAGGCCAGAATTTTTAAGTTCCCTGTGACATTGAACCATGAGTCTGTGCCCCAGCTGCCAACTAGGCAGAAAATACTGGTTGCTCTCAACAAAATGATGTTTGTGTCCATCCATTACAGTGTGACTCCATGCCAAGTGCTGCATTTTGTGGCTCTCTCTTTTTTTGCGCGCTGCCACAAATATTTGGACAGCATCTGTTTTGGAATTTCAGACTGGAGAAGGGAAAGCTGCTTTGGGTATAGCTTGGATGTTGGGTACATATGCACAGCATATTAGTGTTAAAAACACAGCCATGCATTCTGACCCCTGTCAAATTCAATTGTATTTTTCCATTTGTTAAGGCCAGATATTATGTCTTCAGAGCTGAAGAAAACTGAGAGGAACTCCATGATCATTCTGGGACAAAATACAAAGAATGAAAACATGTGGCCTTTCTGATAACCTGAGTCAAATGGAACAAGGTAAAGTAAGTAAAGCAGCATGTGTTTCCTTCTGGGTTGGGGGATTTTTTTGCCTCTTCTCAGCACAGAAATGAGGTAGTCCTGTTCCTTCTTCCAGACACAGTCCAGCATGCAAAGACAGCATCAGGTCTGATCTTTGAAGTTCAGATTATATGGGTTTACACCTGCTGATGACTGGCCCATATATCTTCGTTTTTATAGTCCTCCAGTTTTTGGTTTGTTGGTTTTGGTTTGTTGTTTTTTTTTTATTTTAACCCACAATTTAAAAGTAACTGTAGTCATACAGGCTACATCACACGGCCTTTTTACCAAAAAAAAAATAATAAAAAAATACAGCACCAAATTCATTTACCTACAGTCAGTCAAAAGACTCCCAAATAATAAGCCAACCAGATGTCTTGGGAAAGAGACAATCTGTCCCTAATAAAGACTAAATGAGAAACAGCCTTTGTTTTATCTGCCACCTTCCCAACTCAGCCTACAGGTTAAATGCAGAAAAAGTCTCCCTAATCTCACATTCACTGCATGTTTCTATTTCAGAAAGGCAACACAAGAACACAAAGGACACAAAACCAAGAACTCCAGGGTTACTTTGTGCAATCTGCATTCTACAGTTGTCAACAGAGCAACTCTGATTTGAGCATCGAAAGGGAAAGAGGGAAGGGGGAGGTTGAGAAGGGTCTGTGGGCAGAGGCATCCTCAGCTATGTATGGCTTCACTCCTGAACTTGAAGTGTATTTACAAAAGTCATGGATGAAAATTGCTATTAGCATCACAGCAACATAACCAACAGAGACTTTTAAGACACAGAAATTCTTCCTCCAGTCTGGGTTGGGTACATAACTACCTGAAACACTGAAGCTTTTAAACTGTCATTGCTTTCTGGGGACCTTCTCCAGCTGAAATAAATGTAAGCTTTATGGGACACAGCATCATCTAAAGGAGTGCCAGGGACTCCTTGCCCAGTGCAGAAGTGGCTGTTGAAAGGAGAGCCTCCTCTTTCTGGGGGTCTGAGTTGCAGTCTCTGCTTGTCCCCAGCACAGCTCCTCCCTTCAGAGCTGTGCCATTTTGCTGGAATCCAACAGGAAAACCAAGTGTGTAAAGCTGAAGTCATTCCTTAATCCAGGACTGGCTTCCCATCCTGTGAGCCTACTCCTTCTGCAGGGGCCCCCAGACTCCAGTACTACCCTACACAGAAGCTGGCATTGTGCATGCTCATTGTAGAGACCAGAGTGAGAGGTAATGCAGGAATCAGCCTTTCCAGAGACTTCAGGGCACAGCCAGGGCAATGCCTCTGCTTCACTGGGCAGCCCAACTCTTGTGCTATCAGTCTTTTAATTTTTCTTTCTTTTTTTTTTTTTTTTTTTTTGGCAGCAGGGGGAGGGGCAAGGTAGGACACCAGGCTTGAATTCCTACTTTTAAGTTACATTTAAGTCCTCTGTCTGTGCAGGTGAGAGCCTGAGGCTGTAGGTGGAGCAGTCATGCTGCTTTGTGGCTCAGCCAGCAGTCTCTGATGGGAAAAGGTGAGAAGGAGAGCAGAGCTGCAAGGCAGTTATTGAAATACATCCTTTATAAACTGCTGCTCTTTTGGGATACGTTAAGAACTGTATAACAGTACGAGTGTATTTGGTGGCTGCCTTATTACCACGTGCTTGCTGATTCCAGACTCAAGGAACAGACAGTGCATGCTTCTGAAAGTCCTGTGGTTGCAGTGGTCTGCGCCCTAGCTCTCATTGGTACTAGCAAAATAATTAATGCACATGGAGTAAAGATTTAATTAAACTAAACTTGCCACTTGATAAAGCATCATTCTACCCCATAAGTTAAAATATAATTAGAAGTTAAGCAACTGGTGTTTAAAAATCTCTCCCCAGCCCAAACTTGCCTGAGAACCAAGATTTGAGAAGCTTCAGCAGGCAAAGTCTCTTGGTAACAGATGCTTCACCGTTGCTCATCCAGATCAGTTGGAGCCCTTGGAGTCCTCCAAACCAGAGCAGGATCTTTTCTGGAATTCAGAGCAGCTCAGCCATGCTCTCCAAGGGCAGCTGCGGTTTGCAGGGATGAGTGAAGGCAGTAGCCCATGCCTAGTGCTCCAAGTACTCAGAAGGGTTGCTACTGTTGTTACTTAGCACCTCAAAAAAACCCCCCACAAAAACCCCAAACAAAATAACCAAAGCCCAATTAAAAAGAAAAAGGTCTGTGCTGACTCAAAGTTAGCACCCTAAAGTAGGTGCTGTGTTTAATGTTTCAGTTGTAGCTGCTGCTGCTGCAGGACTTGGTTATTCACTGTGCATCTTGCTAGCTTCATCCAAAGCTAGAAAGATTTATTACTTGATTATTCTGTGAATAATCTGTATGTCTCCATAAATACAGGGAACAAAAATCCTGCATTAACATACACCCTCCATTATCTCTCCAGCTTTACAGAGACTGTAACGAATGTGAATCAGTGCAAACTGACTTTAATGTGTTTTAAGACGTAGCATTATGAACTGGTATTTCCTACCACCATCTCCATTCACGTTATAAGTTTGTTGGTTTGGATTTTTTTTTAACTCAGATGAGCTAGCACTCTTTTTTTATTACAGCATTATATTAAATATATTCATGTATTTTCAGAAATAAATGTATTTATAATGTGTAACATACTGTATAGTTCTCTACTCCAGGATGCATTGTAATACAAGCATAAGAAATTTAATAAAAGCATCACCATTATGATAATTGTCCTCAGATTTTATTAATGAACACCTGGCTTGTAGTATAGCAACTGCCACACCTCTAGGGTTTCAGGTGAGCATAGTTGGTCAGGAAAAGAATTGTTACCTCCAAGCTTCTAAAGAACTTTTAACTCTGGCAAAGAAACAAGTTTACTCTTTTGAAGCAGGTGCTGTTCTTAAAGATCTAGATGGCAAAGAAAGCCTTTGGAAAATTCAGATACAGCAAAGTGTAGGTGTTAACTTTGAGTAGCCCTGTATTAGGTGCTGTTCCCAGGCTTTGCTTCCAAAGCCCCAGAGCAGGCAGCCACAGACAGGCATACACACACACCACTTCCAAGAAGAACCAGTGAAAGCACTAGGGACAAAGTGGGCTGATGCTCAGCACCAAGGTTTCTTTCCGTGAATCTGGGTTCAGTGGCAGCATTGCACAACAGCCTCAACTGACAGATAGCCTCAGGACTGCTTTTCCTCCTTCATTCCCAGCCAGCAGCACCCTCAAGGACAGGGCAGCTTTCCTTCACCTGCAGAAGTCTAAGCTGCTGTCTACAGCACCTCACACCACCTTTAGTTCAATAGCACAACCAGGTGGTACAGAGTGAAGCTAAAGAGGGTGATGACACGAGAAGTCACATACAGGTATGCAAAAGTCAATGAGACTCAACTAGAGAAAGCAGAGGCTTAGAAAAAAATAAGCCAGAAACACACCTGTGAAGGTAGAAGGAAAATAATACTTTCACAGAAGGGAAAAAAAAAAATAAAAAAATTGCATAGCAGGAGCCATAAGAGCCACTAACACCTCAGTGGAGTTGGAGAACAGGCAAGGAAGATGGGACAAATAAACCAGTGTAGGAAATCTCCACGTGGCCGACCTTTCACCCTGTGCCAGGGTTTCACAGGAACAGCTCGCAGCCCTCTGCTGCTACTGCCCTGGCCTCCTGACCAAGTTGCAAGTCTTAAACACAGCAGACTTCCCAGAGTAGATAAGAGAATTAAGTTCACTTCTCTGCTTACCCACTTGGCACTGCATGCACCCTACAATAAGCAGCAGGTCCATTACAGTAAGACCCAGCTGTGCACTAGAAGAGACAGTCCCTGCAGGGAAATCTGTCTGATTCCCAGAGGCTATTGCCCCCAGAGCTCCCTGCCACTGTGGGATGGCTCAGCAACACCATGGAGGAAAGCAGGGACTTGGCTCTCCTAGCCCCTTCAGCATCCACACAGGTTTCCAAGCTCTCTAAGTAAGTATTTCTGTCTCCCTTACTGAGGGATAGGAAGGCTCCAGCAGCAGCCAGGGAGGCGTTTGTCTCCGCTTGAACACTCAAGATCAGTGCCAGAGCACCCTGCCTGGTGGGCTGAAAAGGTGTGGTTTATATTACTCCTCTAATTGCCCAGTTAATTAACACTACAGACAGCTGTTAAAGACTTGTCATAAGGTACATTATGTTTACACTCTGCTTTGCCAGACAGAGCTCCACCTGTACCAAGGTCATTTAATTGCTAGAGCCACTCCTTAAAGGAGGAGGTTGTTTGACCTATCTTCAACTGAAGATTGTTTCCAGCCTGTGATCTCCTTCACCCTCCCACCATACAACTTGAAACAGTCTTGTCTTCTGATTCGTTTTAAAAGCAGGCAAGACTAAGTCACTCATTATCCGGAAAGTACCAGGGAAGAGCAGTTCTATGAGAAAAATAAAGACATGATTCCTGAAGTTTCTTGGAGTAGGAAAGGAATTAAAAAGCAGATTCCAGCACCTTAACACCCTCTAATCACACAGCATGTAGCCTAATTAAAAAAACTCAATACCTGCTACCTCAACAAGCTACTGGTCAGTAGCACATGTATAAGTACTACTCTTCCCCTTTAGAGGCCCCAAAGCAGTACAATTAAGATTTCTCTCCTGCCTTAATAGGGGAAATTTCTGATCAAGACTGTGGGGGAAAAAAAAGGGGAAAAGGGATATACATTTTTCCTTCCTGTCAAGGAGTACTTCATTAGCTATTAGGGGATCTCAGTGTGAATGCAAGCACCAGAGCTCCCCCAGGCTGGGCAGGAAGGAGAGGGGTGGAGACCCTTTCCTCTTCTAGTGCCTAGAGAGTTTTGCTGTACTGCTTTCACTCAGGACCTCAAAAAGCTAAGAACAGTGCTGCCCAGCTGTTGTGACTGACAACAACACGCTACTGAACTGCCCCAATGCTTAAAACAGCAAATTTTATTTCTCATCTCAAAAAAAAAAAAAAAAAGCACTTCTCTGGCACTGTTGTGCCCACAGTGATGTCAAATAAGCTTTAATCCAAGAGCTTTGAAGACTCTTAACTGCCTTGTCTCACGTGAAGGTTTGAGATTAATCTTTAAAATTTGATTTTTTTCCCCTGAAGTTTAAAGCACCTAGGCCCTTTGGGAATTTTTTCCCACTTGGAATTATGTTTCTTTGCTCTCATTCCCCAGAAAAATCCCACTTGCTGCCTTCTATTTCTAGGGCAAGAGATGTAAGTTCACACATACAGCATCAATAAAGGTCCATTTGTGCAGTGCTTTGGCATCCTTGCTTTCTAGTCCTGGCACATGAGGACAGCCCTGACTTACCTAGTGACTCAGGCAAGCAGGCAGTCTCCAGCTCCTCTGCACAGACACAATACCTGCTCTGCATTCCCAAAGGAGTAGTTGCAGGATCCACTTTTAGTTAGTTTTGCTGCACTTCTACTCAGTGTTTGAAAGGATAGTAATTTTGAAGGCTACCTCAGTCACTGAGAGAAATGCAGACACCACCCAGCATCACTCCTGCCTCAGTCTGCAGACCAGGCCATGACAACAGCTCCCTCGCATAACTGGTGGACAGCTAACACCAAACCCACAGCAGAAGAATTCCAGAAAGTGAGATGGATTCAGAGCATTTGGAAAGCTTTCACAGCCGCTGGGATAATTTTTGCCTTGCAAATAAAGTTTTATAGCTGTGGTCTCTAGGAGAAGCTGTACCACAGACCAAATGGTTTGACAGCCACTTTATTGCAATCCATTGATTTCATTTGCTGACACCTTCCTTTGCCACAGCACAAGGACCATGCACAGAACTGCCCCGATTGCCACAGCAGCAAACCCCAGAGCCCAGGGGGCTGCAGCATGCACAGCTGCTCCTGTGGGGGAGAAACAACCCAATCAATGCTCCCAGTGAGGCACAGGGATGCTTTAGGGGTGCAGCCTGTCTGCAGAAAAGCCTTAGACCAGCCCCCTTCCCCAGACTGGCTATGCTGGGCTGCCACACTTACCAAGGCCACCCTTAGCTGTGCCCCATCTTAGCTCATCCTGGAGGAAAATCACAGGGCCTTTGCTGGAGACATGGGAGGCACCTTCCTGAAAGTGATGCTCAGCACTCCTTTTACCCCCTACAGAGCAATGTAAAGGTTGTAGGTGAGAAGATGTATAGCCCTGAAGGTCAGCTTCTCAACACACACAACGCTCTGAAGGCCAAAAGTTTCCATGTGAGTCCACATAGAATTAGAAGCCTATGAAGACCTCTGCCTTTTTGGCATAAGAGCAAGGGCCTTTAGCCAGTGGAAAGGAGCAGGAAAAGCATTGTCAAGCTGTCCATGGCTCAACGGAATTAGTCCATACTCTTTATATCCCCTGCCTGTGCATCTTGGAGGCTAGAACCTTGTTGCCCCTTTGGATAGGGAAGCAGAAGGGTAGGACACTTACTCATTCTAGCAGGGCAAGTGGAGGTGCAGGACTCCTGTACAGACCGGTGGCACACTGAAGCACTGCAGTGAAGGTACACCTAGAAAGAATGGAACACAGCCTGGAATCACTCAGGCAATGTCTATAGACAGGTGATAGCCTGCTGAGGTGCTTTGACCCCAGACAGCAGCTAAGCAGATGCTTCCTCACTCCCCCTGCTCTGCCCCAGTAGGACAGAGAAAAATAGGATGAGCAAAAGCAAGAAAACCTGTAGCTGGAGAGATAAAGACAGTTACCTAAGCGAAGGAGAGGAGAGAACAGAACAAAAGCAAAGCACAAGTGATGCAAAGGCAAATCACCCACTCTGCTCCTACAGGCAGACTGGTGCCCAGACAGTCAGAGCATCAGCTACACTGGAAGATGAAATCCCTCAGTGTTTATTGCTGGGCATGAAGTCATCCAGCATGGAATATTCCTAGGGGTTGAGAGACAGCAGAGAGAGGAGAAAGAGCCTTGGTGCTATGCAAGCACTATTCAGCAAACAGTGAGAACATCAGAATATTTTCAACACAGTTTTAGCCACAAATCCAAAGACACAGCACCATGTGGACTGCTACGAGAAGAGTTAACTCCGTATCAGCCAGACCCAGCACAACAGGTCACAGAAAGGAGAAGGCAGGAAGATCGGTTTGGCTTGTTTCACATCCAGGCTGTAGCCTTGGAGCCCTCTGCTGTCCGCTGCAAGGCAGCTTCAGTACCTTTACAGATTTCGGTGAAATCTGGCAGTACAGCACTTCTCCCATCCACCTGGGATACAGCTGCCCGAGCACCACTACACTGTGACCAATGTTGGATACAGCTGTGACCTGTTTTGAGTATTAATTGGTTCCAGGAGCACTGAGCAAACAGCACAAGGCATGGTGAACTTCATATGCCTTAACTGTGCAGAAGTTCATGATATTCAAAACCTAGATGCTTCACAGATACTCAAAGCTATTTCAAGTCATTTTGGCTAAGAAATTTGGTTTAGAGACTATTGATTAGCATAGCTAGAGCACACAACTTAAGCTAATTCACCAGAACAGCTTAGGCAACAAAATAGCCTTTGCTTAAGTAAACTATTACCCCTCTAATAGGCTCATTTTCTGTCCCATCCCTCCAGAGATGTATCTTACCTCTACCACATTCATCTCAGGGAATAAAGTTTGCATCAACCTATCCCCTTCTGTTTCAGGAGGGGATTTTCCTAGTCTTTGCTCCTGTCCCTGCCTTGCCCCCCCCATCTCCCTCACAAGGAGGCCAAGCACTTCACAGTTATAAAGTGGTTCTTA